TTTCAGGAAGAACTAGGAAAGGATGCAATGGAACATTAACTGCCATGGTAATTAATTCAACATCATCTAGAAAATGTGAACAAAGAGCTGTCTTGGATAGTGTGGTGAAAGTAACTACATTGGTTTGAATCCAGGGATTGGCATTTACTTCTATATATTAACCGAAATGAAAAATATATCTTAGTCTCTGGTCAACTATATGTAATAGAGGAAATGAAAAATTTAGATTCTTATTGAAATGACATCCTATTTTAAAAGAAAAAATATATCTATAAACTTGGAATGTAAGGTTCCCCTTGTATTTTAGAGCTTAATTAACAAAATGAGTGTCCCAAATACTCCTTTATTTGTTAGCTTCCTTTCTGGATGTGAAACCAGATTCAAGAAGACATCTATGAAAAAGATGGAAGACCCACGATTTTCTTTAATCTACTGGACATTTTTTCATTGCTGTCCCTGTGGTTGGCATTGTGGATACTAAGGGAACCTTAACTTTGCTGCTAATCCAGGGAGAAGACTATCTTCTTACAGTCAATAGATTGGGAAGCATCTCACTCCCACCTGTTTTGCAAGACTTCCTATCATTTTCTTAGTCTGGGGAAAGCTCATTCTTCAACTTCCAGCTCTAATTTACCAGGAATGTTTATGTCTATTCATTAAATTTTCCTGAACGATTCTTTTGCAAGAGAGCCCTTTCCAAATCTGTCCTTTCTTTTATAGCATGTAAAAGAATTCATTTAAACAGAACCTGGCAGGCAGAAGAACTCAAATGATAGCTAATTATCTATTTGCTCGTTATTTGTTAACACTTTTATGATAGGCTCATTGCTACCAATGTTATACCAATTCACATCCTTGTTAAAATTATATTTTCCTGACATCAAACTGAACAGGAGTCTTGCCTCTTTTTGAGGAGTAAATATCTATTATTGTTCTGAAAAAGAGCCACAGCCTTACTGAGGTAGACAGTGCAGAGGGGCCGTGGCAGGATGTTCAGTGCCCTTGCCCAAGGGCTCAGCTGGCATGTTGTGTGGCAGGGCTTTGGACCACAACTGGCTTTGGGCCTGCACTGGTGGCCACATTGCACATCCTGAGGAACCAGCTGCTTTAGGAGGTGGCGCTAGCACAGACAGGTGATACCGAGCCTGTGAAAGTGGACACCACCAGACTTACGTCATCTCTGCCTCTAGCTCTTTCTGGCCTCAGGCAGGTCGCAACTTCTCCAGACTTTGATTTCTTACCCCAAAAGAGAAGAAAAGGAATGAAGATATTTTGTCAAATGATCTCTTTATCTTTTAGCTCAGACTCTGAACCGTTTTTTTGTGAATCATCAGGAAAGAGGGAGGAGAACAATGTTAATAGCCCATCATTAAGGAAAAGGAATACATGCTTTTCAGGATGAGTTTTCGATGTTCCTAAAGGAATCGTGAAGGGCCAACAGTAACAGATCCACAGAATGGTTGGGGAAGATCCAAGAAAGAAAAAGATGAGAAACTGGATATGATGTTCATCTGGAGAAGTAAAAGCAAAATCAATACCAAACAAAGAAATTGGGAGAAAGAAAGATATAGATTTAGGGCTCCCCCACAGATAACATAGAGTATCTTACCAAAATTTCTTTCACTTCAGAATGAAGAAATACTTGAATGCAGTCATGATGGGGAGAACCTTGAGCAGGAGCAGCCCGACAGTCCTGAAAATCTTTCCCCCGACAGGTAAGATTGCAGATCCCTTTAGAGAAGTCATTTTAACCCGTTGGGGTAGGGGGACAGGGTAGAATATCCTCTGTTTTAAATCTCATCACTTATCTTTCCCAGATAAAATCACAGTTATTCTATATACTAATCTTCATTTATCTACCTGAGAACAAAACCCATGGATCTCATAAAAGCAACAAGAACTGAAAATGACATCTCATAAACCACATTTCCAAGGATACTCAGTGTTTAAAAAATGAATTATCAAGAAAATAGTAAATGCAAACTATTGTTGCTATTAACTGAATTATTGATTTAAACCTACTTAAAGGCAATAGGTCCCCAAAAGACACAATTTATACGAACTTAATGCTATTTTTGGCGTACCGAAAGGTGTTGGTAATTCATGTGAATGCTCAGCAGTTCAGTGGAGAAGACCAAAAGCAGAAGGGGAAATTGATTTTTTTAAAATCCTCTCTCTATTTAGAATCCCCATCATTACCTCTGTTCTAGCACTCATCACATTGTTTATACTCACACCATTTGACTTACTGACTTGTGAGTTGTTTTTATTCCCAGGGTCTGTCATGTTTAGCTCTTAACATGCCTCTAAAAAAGTGCCTGTAGAATGAATGAACAAACATCTTTAGGAACGTGCTTTTTGATTAAAGCCAGTATTAATTTAATTAGACTACTTGATATTCTTTCACTTTAAGGTGCACTAGAGGAAACAGGTAGGCTCTTACTGATGGAAATGTATCTTTGAGTCTAAGTAAATGGCTGAACTCAGCATATCTGAAAGTGTGTTTAGTTCTCTTGTTTTTTCAAGTGATGGTATATCTTTTGGGACTTTTCTAACTATTACTACAACCTACATACTTTTATCATTATAATTTTACTTTTAGAATTATAAATATTATCTTTATAAAAGTATTAGTTAAATAGGCCCTTTAATTGAACTATTAATTTAGTAAATGAATTTGACTAATTAAATAGGTCTAATTAAGTGAATTGTTGTATTAATTTACAGTAGACCATTAAATCATACTTCTAATGAGAACTATAAAGGAAAAGTTACAGCATTTAGTGAAACAAAAATACCTTTGATTCTTGCAAAAGAACTTCGAGAAAAGGCAAAAATAGCTAGTGGATTAAACATAAGACAGAATTTATAAGCCTGTTTTTACCACCAGCTTTGAATACCTTAAAATCACTAATCTTTGCTGCAACAGTTTATATTTTCTGATTCACTTTTGATTTTATACATTTGCATATTTATGCATAACTAATACAAATTTGTTGGGGCTGAAGTTGATAGATACAATATGCTTGGTATATGGTAAGCATTCAGATTTCACCAAATAAATTATAAACTTTTAAGTAGTATAGGTGAAATGTTATGTCAGATAATGTCCATTAGGGTTTTAGTAATTAATCTTCTTTTCATATCTGGATGGCTTGCCAAAATGACATCACTTTATTATATTTGAAAATAATGATTAAAAAAAAATAATGATTTTTGAGCACTGTGCAGTCCCTACCTTCAGTTTTAGTTGGAAAAAAACACATGAAACAAATAGTAGGTAATAGTAATATATGTGATAAGTGTACATTTACAAGTATACTAGAAGCCCTTTGCACGAAGATTCGCACAATAGGCCTCCCTTCCCCTGGCTGTTGGCACCGATTTTCCTCCGGCACCCAGGACCCTGGCCTTTGGTCTGGCCGCAGGGGAGAAGCCAAGCCTCTTCCACCATCTTTGTTGGGTTAATTTGCATAGTTGCTCTGATTGGCTGGTGGATGTAGCAGAGTGACACCAATTTGCATGTTTCTCTTTTATTAGTGTAGATATTTGAGGGGGAGGGTAGGAGATGCTTTATAGAACAGTTAACTTTGAGTTGCCAAGATTTCAGTAGCTACAGGAGAAACAGTGTTTTTGGCAAAGGAAATGAACTTACCCATGTGTCATGAATGAGATTTGTGATGGATAAGAGTGGCAATGGAAAAAATAAAGCTATAGGGAATGAAGAAGGAAAGGAACATTACATAAGGCCTTGGGGAGCAGGTAGAAGAGACTAGACTTGATGCTGGAGGCAGTAAGGAGCCTTGGAGGTCTGGAGCAGAGGATTACCAGAGGGAAAGCTGTGGCTGAGGCTTGTTTCACTGCACCATGTGGTGACTGCAGAGAAACAGCCAGGGAGCACCTATCCTTTCTGATTGTTACAGCGGAATGGATCACCGTGCATATCAAGAGTTCTCTGGTCTGATTCTCATTGCAGCTATGGAGTTCAACTGAAGTCCCACATATAGGTCAAGTTCATTAATTCTTCCAAGTGATCATCATTTGAGTCCAGAGTACAAACACCTCAACCATGCCTTGCAAGTAAAAAGTTCTACTACGACCAAATAATTCAGATAACTTTCAAGTTTTAAAAAAAATATATAGAATGACTCACAGCATATTCTAAGAAGTGAGCAGGAATCGGGTGAAAAGCAGATGAGAACATACTATGTATAAATATGCTGAAGCACCAAACACTCCAAGAGGAACCTGAGAACATTCCTGGCATTACAAGACCAGGGCTAAATTTTAATCTACTTTGAGGTGGCTAAGGATCCTATATAATAAAAGCCTAATATGCTAAGTGTCCGGTCGTCCACTCAACCAATCAAAGCGTAATATGCTAATGATATGCTAAGGCTGCTCAACCACTGGCTATGACATGCCCTGACCACCAGGGGGCAGACGCTCTGATCGGTAGGTTAGCTTGCTGCTAGGGTCGGCCAATCGGGACTGAGCGAGATGGGCCAGACACTCCCTGGAGCCCTCCCATGGTCCTTCCCCGGCTGGCCAACCTTCCGCATCCCTCCCCAGCCCGTATCTTGCACTGGTGGGGTCCCTCAGCCTGGCCCGCACCCTCTCGCAATCTGGGCTGAGGGACTCCCCTCCCCACCCCCAAGTGCACAAATTTCGTGCACCAGGCCTCTAGTATCAAATAAAAGGAAAATATGACCATTTCAAATGGTGTCTTAAGACACTATGGCTACATGTTACTTTAGCCCATCATAAACAATCTGGAATTCCCTCCCTCAGACATTCCAACCTCAGTCATTTAACAAACAAAAGGAGCATTTTGGGGGCTCCAGTGTGCAGAGGACACATCTATCCTAGGCACAGCAGCAAGCTGGAGCAAGACTGTGTACCATAGGCCCCTGACATTAAAAAGAAAAAGCTGATTAGATATAAACAAATGGTGTTCACACAGGAGTTTAAAAACCCTTGTGAAAATACACATCTGCTGACAATTTTCAAGTTGTTTATTGTAAATCACAGATTTTTTTTTAAAAAAAACACACTAATTATTTTAACATATAAGCAAAATTCAAATAATATAAATATTTAACATTTTGGTATCAAATTAATAATATGAAAGAAAAAAAGATGCGAACCAACCAAGAGGTAAAACGTTTTTAGCAATAACACTGTGTACAACCGTCTTCTACCCAAGTGACCGTCCAGGCTGATTGTTTATTTTCCCTTCGTTTATGAGTTTTCAGACAGCCCTGCATTGGAGCACCAAAGTTGTACCTTCCTTTTTAAAAGGCGGGAATCCTTATATTGTATTTACAAATAGTCTTCTCAGTACTTTAAGTCTGATGAAAGAAGCATCTGGAAACTTCCTTCTTATTCAAAAAGGAAGGGCCTTCATATTTCCTGCAAATTTAAATCTGTTCTATTCTCAGCAAAAAGGAAAAAGATGAACACAGTTGAGGAGAGCTCTTTCACAAATAAATAACTGTTTCACAGAAGTACTGCTGTAAACAAACGAGATCGTTTCAATGGCCAGGGAGACGCTGATATTTCCAACCAATGAAAAATTTAGACAGTTACAAGTATAGCTACACAGGGTGTGTATGGCCAAAAGGCAAGCTGTTATATAAAGACGCAACTAATGAAAATTAATTATACGTCTGCTTTGTCACACTGTGCTTTTATTCTCTCCAGTTTTTTAAATTGGTCAGAAATTTCAAGCTGTAATCTAAAAACCCCGAATCTACTCTGAAGGGAACTATAAACTACAATGGTTGACACTGTAGTTTTGACATTAGTTAAGAATTCTGAATTATCTCAGCAGTCAAAATAAACAAGCCTCAATGTTCAAAATAGAGAAAAAGATTTCTGTAAACATTAAAAAGCTACCTGCAAAAAATAATTGTATATGCCATCATCTAGTTGTGTTTACTGAGGATTCTTTTGTTTTCCATGTTTCAAACATCATCTAAATGAGAGACTCTTCGTTTTCCCTAACAAGCACCTCTGCAGACAAAGGTTCTATAATCAGTACAACTACTTTTGCTGAAGTCGCTATTTTGGCTTTCAGATGATCCCCCTAATAACAGGCATCACCCCGTTCTTTCTGCAGTGAGGGGAAGCTGTTAGCACCGTGGCCACCTTTCTACCCTGCTTTGTAAAAGAAATGAAACTCCCTCTATTCTATCTCAGCCACATCTCCTTGATTATAAGGGACATATGGCTTTACAAATGCTTTCAATCTCATTCTGACAACTTTCATTCTGACTTCAAGTTTGAAATACTTAAAAGTCAGAGATACGTCTAATGGTTGTTTTGATGAAATCGATTTTTTGAAGATACTGTAGTTTTGGTGTGATGTTTAATACTCTCAATTTTAAAATCTGAAACTGGTACAAAATACTGTGGTTTATGAGACCTGTTGGGGAGGAGTAGACTAATTTTAGTAACCATTACAATAGTTTAGATATTAAGAATTTTATTTTATAATTTATAGAGAAAAGAAGTTTTTAATGTTCTACCTTTCCATTTGAAGTCTTCATTATATTATGCCTCTATGCAAACTACATTCAAATAACTACCTTAAAAACAGACCGATATTGAATATTTAAGAACCAGTTGAAAAATTCATTGAGTTAAAATTAATATCAGCTTATTTAAATAAACAATGATTTCTTCCTACAGAAGGACCCTATGGGTAGCAAGCTGACATGTTTTATGTCATTTTCTAATGATAAATATATAGAGAGTACCAGTTAGGGCAGAGCTAATGACTTCTCCAATTTTACATTAAACTTTGGAAAAAGAAAAGACATAAATATGTTTTAAATGGCCCCAATACTATCTACATGGATGTGACAATAGTGATTTGGCTGTTTATAAAGAAATTGTGTACAGGAAGTCCTCATTTAACATTATCGGTAAGTTGGAACTGCAGTGGAACAATGTATAATGAAAAATTTTTACAATAGGCTAATTGATATAAACAAGAGTCAAGTTCCTACAAAATCTCATCAATGCTGTAACAAAATGATGCTTGACAAAACCAGGTTATTTGAGGACCTGCTATACATTTTCCTAAATCTTCTCTGAAAAATATGAGGCTTGCCTTTACCAGATGCAGTACTTTCTCTTATGCCAATCCTCCGCTGCCCCCACCATTTCCATCAAGTGCTCTTTAATAAAAATTAACTTGTATACCTAGTTTAACAACATATTCCTTTCTTTGAAATGGTACACTCTACACTTGGTTGGTACTTTCCAATGCAGTTATTCTAACACTATGGTTCCTTAATAACTTCTTTATGCTGCAGATACATGTGTGGCATTGAGAACTTGAATTTCCCTTTAGTTTTGTTTTCACAAACCTTTTCTAAATATAAATTCCTTGAAATGGATTTAGGCAATGAAGTAGATAAGTTATACTGAATAGCTTCTACAATCAAAGAAAAATTCTGAGACTACACTTTCAAAATATTTCTTTGTTTTGTTCAGATTCATCTTTCACTTAAGGTATAGACAAACATTTAAAGGTTTTTCGTCCAGGTTTGGCTCAGTGACAGTGGAAACATACAACATTCAAGTACTATTAGACAAAGGCAGCCCAACAGGGATATGTGTCCACATAGGTCAACTTGCAAAGGAGAACTATTTTCATTATCCTGCAGTATACCTGGCCAAAAAAACCATTTGCAACTGTTTTCACTTTAGGGTCTGTGGCATCCTCCCAAAGGACCTGAAGATCTTGAACATGTCCATGAGATGTCATCATTTTATTGTAGATGCAGGGATGATAAGGAGTTTTCCCTTCCCCAGAGAAAAACACATGGTCTTGTGGTACTATCCCCATTTTATTGGCACAGAGGCCCATGAACACATCATCAATGTAAAGACTAGAGTTGAGTGTCTGTGAGGCCTCATAGACTTTGGCAGCTACATCACTAGAGATCACGTAAGCAGCCCCAGCAGTGTAGTCAGGGTAAGCTGGCCACTGGTACATTTCATAGGAGACATAGTATTTGCTGTGTTTGTTTCTAACGGGAGGGGCACCACGGTGAACACGACCAATCCAAAAGTCTTGAACACCCATCTGTTCTAAACTTTGGAGGTATTCAATAAGGTTTGGCATGTGAATAAATATGTCATCATCAGCAGTCATAAGGAATTTAGCATGTGGACAAAAGGTATTTGCCCAACTGAACTGCATACGTAATTTAAGAGTCAGATTGTAGAAAGAATCGGCAAAGTCTTGCTGAATTATATCATTGTACATTTGGTCTTCCCAAACCAATTTCCTTTGCAGTTTTTCTCTCGTCAGTGGGTTCGAAGGTGTTCCTAAGGCAAACAGAGTTTTGATGTTGGCATTAAGTTGAGACCGAACATACTTCTCATTGCCCCACGTTTTCCTGATTGTAGAACGTCGGTCGTAGTTTTCAGGAGCAGTCTTTACAAACAGTAAAAGGAGGACATCCTGTGCTTGGCACTTCTCCTTGTGGTTAATCCAGTACTGGTAGCGAGGAGCCCCATCCTCGCTGCGCTTAAGAGACAGGCTCTCATTCACAAAGTCGTAGCTGTTTATGAGGTATCTGTAAGAGTAGGATTTCATATGGCTCACAATGTGGTTATTAAATGGTTCCCAAAAAAACATGAGGCTCAGTATGAAACAAGTGGCAAATAACTGGACAAACTGCCATTTTTTCACTCTTCTGCCACTAACAAACATTCTGACGTCCGTTCTTAGTTAGGCTCCGTGTTAAATGGGCATGTGCTTCTTCGAGATCTCAGAACTTCGTACTCTGTAGAACCGATGTTCATCTTAAGACAGGCTGGTGGTTACAAATGTAAAAGGAGCTTCTTATGTCACAAAATGTTTTCTTTGAAGACCATTTTTGCTGAGCTTGCAAAAGAATGGAACACACTATAGAATGAGGACACTGGCACATCAATATGTTCCCACGCCGGCATCCTTCATCGAGTTCGGTGGCTGGCTTCGAGCAGGTATCCCATGTACTTCCTTCTGCGGAAGTTAAGTGTAGCCTATTAGAGGTGGGACGAGAAAAGATGCCAAGTGAATGGGTTGCCGAAAAGAAATAAACTACTCATAATTCCTTACAAACTAAATATAACTGGACTAACCTGGATAGGATAACTAGGCAGCAAGCACTTAGAGAGACATACAGCTGTCTATTTTTTTAAAGGGGAGTAGAGGGAAAAAGAAAGAAGCACTCTCTGCTTTCTTCCCATTCAGAATACAGAGACCCTTTTCTCTCCTCAACTTTAAAAAAATAAATAAATAAAGCCCTCTAAAATGGCTATCATCGTATATACTTAAAGTTTAAATCTCTCAAATGGGTCCATCCAAGACTATATTGATTTGAAATAGAGTCAGGATGAAAGTAACTATACAGTTCAAGGCAAAATAGATGAATGATGAAAGCAAGTTCATAATAGTACAGATTCAATAAAGCTTGCCTCAGACACACTGAAGGAATTGGAGGCTTACCACAAAATAACAGAGATTTCTTATCTGCAGATTTTTAAGACAGCATGTGTTCAAGAATTCTGAGAAAAGCCCTAGCCGGTTTGGCTCAGTGGATAGAGCACCCGGTCCCAGGTTCAACTGCGATCAAGGGCACATGCCAGGTTGTGGGCTTGATCTCCAGTAGGGGGCGTGCAGGAGGCAGCTGATCATTGAGTCTCTCTCATCATTGATGCTTTCATCTCCCTCTCCCTTCCTCTCTGAAATCAATAAAAATACATTTTGGGGGGGGGTGGGGGCAGGGAGAAAAGAATTCAGAGAAAATTCTCAGTTGAATCTAACCTGCAGTGTCTATTCCTAAAGACCCTGGAAAGGTAACAAAGGAGTGAACTTCGGAACCACAGGCACAGACTAGCTTCCCATATCTGAGCAGCTGTGCTTAGTACGTTCCAGGGCTAGCTGCCTCGGCCCACATTCACAGTGGTTCACAAGTCTGACCTTCTTGCTAGACAATCTGCCCACAAGCCTAACTCCTCAGCGTCCTCACGTACACTTGACTCTCAGTTGCCCTGGTATCTCTCCAATGAACTGCGATCTATTACTCATCCAGTGGGTGCGTTGCTGCTGCTAACGTCACTACAACCTAGCAGCCAGCCCATAACATTTATTTTATCTCCCATCCTCGCACCACATAAGTATTTACCTTAATTTCCCATAGTTCTTCAACTGCTCCCAACTGACCTCAAAGAGTCAGAACAGTTTTATGAAAAATGACAAAGAACCTGTCACGAAGCTAATGACTCATGCTGCTTATTTAGGTTCTGGACCGCAAGTAAAGCCCTAAAACAAGATTACTTCACCTGCACGGGCTTGAATTGTTTACCCACCATTTATATCAATCAGAAATACATGCCAGGGATAGTCCTGATGGGATGAGGGGAAGATTTGAGAAAGGTAAACTACTCTTTTAGAGTACCCAGCTTCTTCTAACAAAAGAACACCTGAACTCCTCCAAACTGAACATAGTCACCAGGCGGCCTTTCCCAACCAAAAGCAAGAGCACCTCCGGGATCTAAATTCATTAATTACAACGAGACCATGGTGCCCCCAACTCTGGCTTTGCGAACGGAGACCATGCACATGCAATTGCCCCCCACTCTTCTGACTCGCAGTCTTACAGCTTTTCCAGAGCACGTCTTCTAGCTTCCGTATTCAACCTGCAGGAAAGGGAACCGAGCAGAAGCCCACAGACCTGCCCGGCCTGGAGAAAAGAACACGCAGGGCCTTCCAGGAAACAAAGCCATCCCGACAATGCTTGCAAAGCTCAGCACGACCACACAGAATGCTGTGGGTGCAGCTTCCTTTGTGTGCCCACAGCTGGTGCAGTGACCAATCCACAGGCTGGAAACTCCAGGGCTACCCTGCTTTGGGGCCAGATTTATCGTGTAACCTCGGGCACCCCTCACTGCATCTGACTTGGTGACTTCATCTGCAAATGGGAGGTGATCTCAATGTATGGTTAATGAGGGCATAGAGAAGTTACAGGTGACTCAGAGCCTGCTGGAAATGGGAAACAGGACAGACCTTAGAGAGCACAGGGCAAAGAACTGCTTAAAGGAAAATATGCAAATATTCAGGATGCAACTTGGGTTTGCTTCTGTTGGGATGGAGAAGGAACAGATATCCTTAATAATATTCTCTTCCCTAATAGACAGGAGTAGTCAGAGGAAGAAAGAACAGAAGTAGGAGCATCAGAAGAGAAGGTGGCAGACCCCACCCCAAATACCTTTTAGTCTGGGAGCTGTGCCCCTCAATTACTCTTAACTGCGGGCACAGCTCCTAAACGTTGCTGGAAAAACCCAGTTAGTGCACGTACAGGCTACCAGTTTCCCTAAACGACCCCCGATTTTGTCCTGCTTCACCCAGGCCATCAATTCATTTCTTTGTTGAGTCTCCTTTTGTGATCCTAAAATACCATGCAAACCTGCTATACATTTTAAAGTTTTAATCAAGATGGTGAGGTGTGCACTTTAAGTTCAACAATCTCGGTGTCCAGTGTTTCAATGAATCCTACAAGTATCTGAGTCCTCGCTGTGGAAATAGTTGTGCCAGGCCCAGTGGGAATCGTGAAGTAGTATTTTATAGTCTCTAGTCTGAGAGCATCTACAATCTGGTTGAGACAAGACTCATGGTGCCCACATGAAAGCACAGCTCCCAGGGGTGACAATCAACGCGCCACAGAAGGTACAGACCATGTGTCAGCCCAACTTTGGGCGGCACCAGCTCCAGGCATAGTCAGACTGTTCCCGGGAGGAGAGATAGTGACACTGGTCAGAGGGCCTGAGGACGAGCAGGAGGTAGGTAGCTGCAGGAAGGGAGGCAGTCTATTTCAGGCAAGAAAGGAAAGAATCGCCCTAGCTGGTTTGGCTCAGTGGATAGAGCATCACCCTGCAGACTGAAGGGTCCCGGGTTTGATTCTAGTCAAGGGCACATGCCCAGGTTGCAGGCTCAATCCCCAGTGTGGGGCGTGCAGGAGGAGCCGATCAACGATTCTCGCTCATCATTGATATTTCTCTCTTTCTCCCTCTCCCTTCTTCTCTGAAACCAATAAAAAATATATTTTAAAAAATGTTTGAAAAGAAAGACAGGAAAGAATCGCAGTGTGGCCAATATTGGAGAAACAGGGATGAATGTGAAAGCAGGGAGGTTGGGGCCTGCATATGCAGAACCTTGATAATAATAGGGCAGCAGGAAGTCCCAGGAGATTGTATTTTTATTACTAGCTCCCTTGTCAAAATTAATTAAGCTTTTCGCAATATTCAGATTGAGAAGGAACAGATTCCTTAATATTCTCTTGATCTGGCAAAGGCATGAGGTTGTGGTGAAGATGAGTGTCCTGGAGAGTATGTGTAGCAGAATTTAGAATTTAGAGGAAATGAAGTTCCAAGTGAAGCCACACACAGGACTTTCTTGCTGATAACTGTCTGTGTGTAGCTGATAATTGACTTAATATTCGGATTGATCTGGCAGTGGCATGCGGGATGGACGCAGAGGGCTGGAGACCAGGACAC